ATGTTATGCACCCATATTTCTATTTTTTTAGTTGTATTCTGTAGATTTCAGGAGGTTTTTAGTGTTAGTTTTTCCACTGCATAAAGCATTTTGTATTCTTTATGGTCAAAAAGGTTAGCCAATCAAAAAACCTTCTTCTATAAGCAAACAGGGTGTTTTTTCATAAATTGTTTTTTTTTTTTGCAGCCGCTTTCCATAATTTTCCACCTGAGCTGTCTGCAACCTTAACCTTTTGCTGCTCTCGCCTTTTTTTTTTTTTTTTCCCTAATCAGGCTGTCATGTATGAGATCCATGGACATAACCACACCTGTATAAAGAAGCCTTTTAAGGCAGAATTTCACCCAGTTGCTATTCCAAAGGACGCCTCTCTGTTAGGACAGGTTGTGTTGGGAAGTTCATCTGGACCTGGGCAAGGCCTGCTGGTAAACAGCTGGATGGGAGATATACCAGAGCAGTCAGGTGAGAGGCCTTCATATGATTATAGCTTCCTTGGTTATCCATTCATTCAGCCAATTTTATGAGCAACTTTACTCTCTTTTCCTTCAGGAAAGTACATTGCAACGGTCACAGAATTTGGCTGCATTCCTGTCAGCTGGTCATACCAAACAAAAGATTATGGATGGCTGGTGGCAAGGTAAGTTTCAATATTACAAATATGCTTTAGTTAAAATGTAAAAGTTCCACATTGTTAATCCTCAATCCTGTTTCTCTGTTAGCTATTTCAACAACGTCATTGGGATTGAAGATCCTGATCGCCTCAACCCCCCAAGCTTCTGCCAAGATGCAGAGATAAAGGAGGGCCAGGAGGAGCCAGTGGATTTCCTAAGTTTATTCCTAAACAAGAATTAAAGAGTTCATTTGATTGCCTCTTACCATTCAACCTACTTGTAATGTTTGAGTTTCATTTGTAATCTTTTCTCACATCATTTTCTCCGGATGGTCAATTTGTTTCAGTTGTCTCATACCCTACTTTATTTTTCATCAAATTATTTTTTTCCACCCTAATGGTCCAATGAAGAATGTCTTTCCAAAATCATAATACAAATAATAAAAAAAAAGTAGATTTCTGTTTTAATTTTTTTGTGTCTTTTTTTCAAGAATTTTATTTGCCTAAAATTTTATTTGACATACGCAAACTCAGAAGCTCAACATTTAACCCTGTAATGCCAAATGTATCATATTTGATACATACGGTTTCTGAAATGTTTTGCGTCTGTCACCTTTTGCATAATTTAATGGTAAAAACTTTGCTCAAAATCCTATTGTACACAATCAGATATACCTGATAACAGAGGGCAGAAGACTACACAAAAAATCATTTTGACTTATCGCATAGTAATAAATTATTAATATCAAAAATGTATTTCTGTTTTTTCTTTTTACATATTTTGTTAAAAGGCCAAATAAGGACTTTAAACCAAAAAAAAGTAATTTTCTGTTTTGTTTTATTCTTGGATCAGGCTTTAAAGGGTTAAAGGAAGGCAGGTTACCCTTCCCTTTTCCTAAATATACATTCTAATAATTTCAATGGCTTAGATAAACTGTTCATATGCTATAAATAATTCAGCATTTTCAGTTTTTTTGGTAACTTGTAAATGTAAATTCCTTTATTATCCCACAATGGGGAAATTCAATCTCTGCATTTAACCCTTTGGGAGCAGTGGGCTGCGGTGTGGGGTTAAGAGCCTTGCTCAGGAAACCTGAATGGAGGCTGTGGGGATTGAACCAGTTACTTGCAACCTTCTCAGAGCACAAGTGCACTGCTCCAACCACTAGGTCAACACTCTGCCTAATTTTACTAACATTACTACCAAATTTTTCTTATCAACATGTACTTTTGTTTTGCTAGTAAATTTTACACAGAGAAATACAGTCATTGACATACAAAGAGAATCTAGAGAGGCCAATTAGCCTTACAATCATATTTTTGAGAGTAGAGAGTGGGAGTACCCGAAGAGAACCCATGTATGCATGGGTAGAACATGCAAACCCCTGCAGAAGACCCCGGACCAAGCATTGAACTCAGAATCTCTTGCTTCAAGGCAACAGTGCTACAAACTGTGTCTCAATTGAGCCAACAAAGAAACAATATTTTCAATTTTTGACCTAAAAAAGGTGAGGCCAGGAAAAAGGCACCAATTTACTCCTAATATCCAAATACATATTACTTGCATGTGTTAAGTTTTGGTAAAATGTATTAAATTTACTTGTCTTTTAATGCATATAGATTTATAAATAAATTCTTATTAAGAAATTAAATTAAATTTTGAAGTAAAGCCAATACTTTCTGGGGAAAGTTTTCAACTGCACCCTGAGAGACACAGCACCTTGCTCAATGGGTGGCGAGCAAGGTGCGAGCCCATTGAGGTGGGATGCAGAGGGTTTGCTGGCCAGTCCCTCTGCAGGGTGTACAGCATGCTGGGCATCACAGGGGCCAGCAAGCAAAGGGCCATCAAGGAGGCCACAGAGGCAGCAGAGGTTGCCTCGCGGTGGTTGTGGATCAGGAGAGGAGATACGTGGGTAGGGTAGCGCTACCTGGACACAAGCTGGGGTCTGATCAACCCTGGCTGGGTCGCCTGGAGGAGAGTGTATGATGTTTGAAAGACCCGAAACACTCTATGATACCAGGTAATATCACTGATGATGTGTCCAGGTTGCATCACTAGTTGATGTATGTACAAAGGTAAAATGTATTAAATTTACTTGTCTTTTAATGCATATAGATTTATAAATAAATTCTTATTAAGAAATTAAATTAAATGTGTCATTTTGAAGTAAAGCCAATAACATGGCAATCTGCAAAGATTTTACATAAAAAAGCAAGGTAATATTTACAGGACCAAATAGTCCGTTTTTTCCGTGCGTATATTTACACTAATATAAGCGTCAGCTATAGTCGTTTAATATATTAGACTGCGGGAGAAAGTGATCAGTAAGATCAGTTGATATTTGTTTCTATCTTGTTTCTGATTGTGTATGTGGTCTGGGAGGGAGGGTGTTGATCATGTGGTATCTGTTTTGTCATCTGACAGAGATAGTGGGAATCTATATGGCAAGTCTATGTTTTTTTTTATAAATTCCATGAGCTTCACTGAACAGTCTGATCCCTACTGGGGATAATGACAGAATAGAATAGAACCGGGAAAAAATCGTCCGTAAAAAAATTTGACAGGGAACATTCAGGTAAACCAGCAGCCAAGTGATGACACAACTGAAGCGTACAGACAGATTTACACAACAATGAAAAGTTGATGACAAAACGAACGATTCTGAACACCAAGGGCGATTCTAAAGGCATAATCAAAATTGTAGTACAGTTTAACGCATACACTCCGTGTAAATGTGCAACTGAGAAGGATGGTTTGAAAAACGAGTCAAACATGCATCAATGTTTGTGCATAAAAACAAATAAGTGTAAAAAGAGCAAACAACAACAGGGATGTCAACACTTCAGTGTTTCTGATTGTGATGTCAGAGTCATTGTGTTTTCAACCACCTGCACTAGGTCAAGGAACCATCCTTGTTCTTTCAAATAGAATCCTAATAAAATGTACTGAACTTTACAGTGTCATAATTGGTTTAAGGGATCTGACCCACAGAGAACCACTCAGAGACCAAGGGAAAAAGTTTAACAGCTTTATTGAATGTTGATGAAACACAGAAGTAGGAGCTGGAACTCAGTGGACTGGTGAACCGGAACAGGAAAGTCTAAAGAAGATGTCACAGTGATCAGTTCAGGGACCGTAGGAAAATTGACTGAGGCTTGAATATAGCTGGAGAGAAACTCACGGTTGAGGGGGGTTCTAGTTAATCCTTGAATCCAGTTTGTGGGGAATTAATCCAGAGGAGAGGGAACTCATTGGAGAGCGGACAGGTAGACATACATTGGACCCAGAGGGGTAAAGGAGAGAACTGTCAGTTGGTTTTCTGATTAGGACTTGAACAGATCATGTGGAGGATTACCCCTGCTCAGTGTGTACTCAATAATCCTTCCAGGAGGAGAAGGTCCAGGTTATCCAGTTACACAGGAAAGGCTTCCTGCCGAAGAGCAAAGATAAAAACAAGATTAGACTCCGAGAAACAAAGCTTCGGTTAGACTCTGCTAATCTCAGCTTGTCTAGAATACCCAAAACTGGCAAACACGAGGTAGTGACAGCCCGCTGCTCAAATACTCCTCCGGTATCCAACGAGCTGCAGGTGTGCAGGGAGGCCCAACGAGGAACAGGGCACCACCTGGTGGTGGAGAAAGAAAAACACAAAAATAACCCACACAAACTGGATTCCTAACATGCAGAGTAGGAAAAATTCAGCAATAAAAATATAAAAATAAATGTTAAATCTGTTAAAATATTCAGCTCATACATAATAAATTATCTATCTCTGTCCCACAAATAGCAATTGGTTTTAAATCCAGTGATTTTGACTATTTGATACTTGGATTAAAAAGCTCTAATTTATTCCTCATCATGTGATTAAAATGGTGAAGGAAAATTCTTCAAAGATCATGTGATGACACAGGTTTAGTTTCACTGACAAAGAGGAACGGGGTGAAATCTCTGTTGCGTAGGTGCAACTCCAATCTAAACATAAATCAAGCAGTCGTTAGAAAAAGGTATTTTCTTCTAAACTGACTTGCAAACTTGTATTATGTATTAAAATAGTTCATTCTTTTAATCTGTTATATAAAAAGATCAGTCATGGGTTATTGGTGTGTGAAACCTGTTTTATCCATGTGGTTGAAACTGGATCCTTTTTTTACATCATCCATACAGGTGAAGTTTAAACTTAGCATAAGGGGAGGGACGGATATAGAGAAAAAGATATTCCTCCTTTATGGTCAGAAATGTTAGTTTTAAGTAGTGGATGACCTAAAATGACCTGCATATATTCTATATCTGAACTTTCTCAGCTGATTTACCTGAACGCAAACACACTGCATAACTTTACACTGAGACATTCTTGATTGAACTGATTACACTAAAGCACCATGGGAGTGAAAAATAAGGAAGCAGGCGTCACCAACAGGCTGCTTTATAAGGAAGTGAGCTCTCTGGTTCTTTGTTGTTGCTGCAGAGAGAAGTCAGCCTGACAACATGAGAGCTCTGGCCCTGCTTGTGTGCCTGTCAGTCGGCTGCCTGGCTCAGAGGCCCCAGCCATGCTGTAAGTACACTCAATCTGAAGATTTTTGCATTAAGAACTTTGCATTTATGGTCTGTTTTTAAACTTCCCAGCCTCCCCAGCTTTGCTGACTGGTTCCCTTACTATAGTGAGTTCTCACTTGTCTCTTTGCCAAATATACAGTATTTATGATAATAGTAAATATCTAATGCACATTTCTTTTCAGTCGACCCAAGATGAGAAATGGGTAGCCGTTGCCAAGTACATTTATGATGCCCTGGGAGAGCGTATACGTCTTAGAGAAATCGGATCCTACGATAACAAAACTTTCACTCTGAATGTGCTTCTTCTGTACAGACAGGTAAGAGCAGCAGAGAATAGATGTTAGCACCAAATCATTTTGAAACAAGGCATATTGTTATCTTTGAGCTTCATTTAAGGGAGTTCTGTACAAGATCAGCGAGAGAAACAAAACCTGCGAGAAGAAGCGTCTGAACAGAGATTTCCATCCACTGGCCATTCCAAAGGATGCTAACCTGCTGGGTCAGGCTGTGTTGGGCAGCTCTTCAGGACCTGGACAGGGAGTCCTGGTAAACACATGGATCGGCCAGTTAGAGATGAAAAACAGAACAGGTAAAAACAGAAGTTATAAGCTAAACGAAAAACAAAATCATGTGATTGCTGTTAGCACATGACTCTCCTTACCTAATCACTGCATTCTGATTTCTGGTTTGTCCAGTTGTTCTGCATTGTCTTTACTTTTTCCTCCCTCTGTTTACACAGCAAAGTACATGAGCACTGTGACTGAGTTTGGCTGTGTTCCAATCAGCACTCTGGTCCATACACCAAAAAATGGATGGATGGTGACCAGGTCAGTAAATTTACTCCAGCCTGACATGTTAAACTCCGAACCTTCGGCCAAAATTGTCCATTTTTAATTACTAACAATTATGTTTTGTTCTTTAGAAACATTTCCTATTCTGATTTCATCTCCTCAGAAATAATCAATACAGACAATGTTTAAATATATTTTAAATTAGGGACCTCTACATTATTTTGAAACATGTCTCACATGTTTGGTATTTCATTAGGACATAAAGTGTCCCACAAGTTTAGATTTTCTTGACTTAACTGTTTGTTTTTCAGCAGAAACTTGCTGTATTTAGTTAACTGAAGGAATGTTTTTCCTCCTTCTGTTGTCTTTTTCTGAAAAACGATAAGGATTTGTCTTTAACTTTGCAGATCTGTACCACTTTGTGTTGGTTTTTCACCCAAAAAAAAAAAAAAAAAAAATTAGTTTGCACAGAAGTTTCTGCATCCTGAAAGAGAAACTGAGTCCTGTTCAAAACATTCCTACACTGAAAAAAATTATGCAAACGCTTTTAGCATTTACTTAAGCATATTTAGTTACTTTAACACAATTGTTTTATATCCTACTCTGCTAAAATGAAAAAAAAAAAATGTGTTAAAGTAAATAAATCCAAAAATGGTTGCATTATTTTTTTCAGTGTATCAGCCTCGGAGGCGACCATCTCCTGGTGTTTTCAACTCTAAGCATGGCTTAAGCCCTCCCTTTTCTGAGTTGCCTAATTTCAAAAAGTGCAGCGCTGCAAAAATCTAAAAATAATAAAGGTTTTTAGAATAAGTGTATTCACCCTTCATGAGTCATTTGGCCACTTAGATATGATGCTAAAATATCCTGTATTTCATATCAGATAATATGGGCATGTTTTTATTATAAGTGCAAGGATCAATTTCATTGGTAGATCATTTTACTAGAAGATCATTGGCCATACACTTATTTCAATTGGTTCCCATTTTATAGTGTGCTTTCTAAAGACACTATCATATAATTTAATTTATTCCTTAAGGTTATTTTCTACCTAATCAAATCCAGTGTGTTTGTTTTCTGCAATTCTGGATTATTCTCCTGCTGATTTCCAATGCATACTTTAAATGTCAGAGAGATGTCCTCATGTTTGTCTTTGAAATACTTTGCAGGAAATCTCGAATCCTTGTGGTGGAGGAACAAAGATTGTTCTCTCCTTTGGTCTAATCTTGAGGCATTGGAGTTTTTCTCACTCCTGTAGTCTTGTGGGACATTCAGTTTGTTCTAAGTGTTTCTAAAATGGAGACAAGTCCTCAACACATGCCAAATTCAGTTGGTCTTTTTTTAATTAAAATATATCTGACTGTGACTGGCTGGATGTGCTCTCTTCATCCGCACATTCTTAGTGTGAGGGATTGCCTTTGAGTCAATGAGTTGATGCAATCAAATGGTTTTCCTTAGATAGAAACCTTTGAATCAAGTTGACTGTATGATCTGAAGAACTGGAAAGTGCCTTGAGTTGAAATTTATTGTGAATTGGTGCTATATAAATAATCTGAATTGAATTGAATTGTTGTGAGCAAAATACTCAGAAGTTGTACTCACTGTACTGGTACAGCTAGTAACAATTAAAATACTTTGATGGGGTTTGATATTTTTGTAATTTCAAAAACGGAAACTCAAATTTTGAATACTTTAGATCAACAAGCATAGAGTAAAATATTTTAACCCTTTATTTCCTGTATTTTGGAGTGGTGATAATGGAAGCCCAGGTTGCTTCAGATCACCTGCATCGGTGGTTCTGGTGTCTCTCATCTTGCTCTTGACTACAGATTTTCTATGGGTTACAGGTCAGGCCAGTCTGTTCGCCCTTCAAATAGGAAAATCAGAATCATTGATCCAAATTTTGTTAACTTTAGCAGAATAACAAGTCCTGCTGGAAAATTGAATCAATGTCTCCATAAAGCTTGTCGACAGAAGCTTAAATTGCTCTAAAAATTCCCTGATGGTGGAATAGCAGATGACACCTGAGCCCAAATAATTACAGGCTGTGGAAAACTTCAAACTGAACTTTAATCAGCATGAATTTTCTGCCTCACTAATATCCCTACAGACTCTGGAAGCTTGATTGAACCTTGATGAAATGCAAACTTTACTTTAATGCGAAAGAAGACTTTCGACCACTGAGAAACAGTCCAGTTCCTTTTCTCTTTAGCCCTCTCAGGCTCAAATTAAGTTGCAGTTGCAGGAAAAATCTGATATTTGGATAAAATGATCATATGAGGTAGTAATATACAATTCAGACTTTTTTTTTAAAGGGGGACCTTCACATGCAATGAATTCTGGGATGTTGCAGATTTGCAACAGTGGCCCGGAGTGGTAAATTAACACTGAAGAACTTTACTTGAATGTCACAAACAATAAATTAACAAAACAAAATTTGAAAAAAAAAATTCAAAAAAATTCTCTCACAAATTAGAGACAACTTTTTCTCCACCGACTTCTCAAAACCTCTTGAGAAGGCTGTTTCTGTTAAACTGTTGCTCAAAATATAGGCAAACTAGTAGAAAAAGCATGTAGCATCCATTGGTACCTGTTTGGACACACGTTGTGAACAACACAACATTGAAATCGACATGCCTCTGGTGAAAAACCCAGAGGAGATAAAATCTACTATTTGGCATGTGTCATATCTATACACATTCATAATTCATCTTATGTAGTATTGATTTCAAAATAATGGAAATTGGTAGTGATACTTACATGAAATTGGTGCTCAGAAAATCTGTTTGACACCAAGGACTCAGCCATGTTGAAAGTGAGTCAGCAGTGCCATGTGGTGAGCTGGAGAGAAACTGTTTGTTGCAAATGCACAACTAAGTCCTTCTGTTGTTCTTCTGAGTAACAAACGCTCTTAAAATATGGATGTGGAGTAATTAGCTAAGTAGCATTTAGCTGTTGTAAATCTGCAACATCTGCCTGGAGAGGGTTAGCTCAGATTTGGATGCTTTAGATCTTGTCTCAGGTTCAGGAGTGACTTTGCTAGAGACAGTGGCTGTAGTGATTTGTTGCCCATGTGTGAGGTTCACCTGTGGTTCTATATGTGCTGACTCCAGCTTCAGGGAATAAACCTGAATACAAGCAATCTGTGAACACATTTATTAAGCAATTATGTAATATGCCTTCCAATGGGACGATGTCATGACTGTCTTCTGTTTGATCAGTAGCCTTGTTAGTTCCTCCTCATTAGTTCCTGATTAGTTTTCCCTGGTAACTAAGCAGTAATGCTGGACTGGGTGTTCCTTAATTAAGTGTTGGTTAACACACTGCAAAAAATGGAAATCTAGATGAGTCATTTTTGCTTACATTAAGTGCATTTATCTTGAATTGAGGAGGTAATTGAGATACTGTGCCAATGGAACAAGACAATTTACATTTAAAATAAGAAAAAAATGCTTTGTCTTATTTCAAGTGCATATAATCTAATTATCTTGTTTTAGTAGTACAAATATTAATTCCATTGGCAAATCATCTTATTTATGTACTCAAATTAAGGGCTAATACACTTAAGAATTTTTTTACTTCATTCTAGATGGTTTTTGCAGTCCATTAGTTTCTGATTAGTTACCTGAGGACTCTCTGCTAATTATTTTTTGTGTATCTTATTTCTAGAGTTCAATGCAGTCATTTTAGTTGAATGTGCTGTGGCTAAATCTATTTGTAAACTCCTATCTAAAGCTTAATTGGGTTTTGTATTGTTTTTAGTATTTATGCAAAAGTGTTTTGAACTCCAGTTATTATAGTCAGAAAGCACTGTAGTGCCTCAGGTCCTGCTTTAAACTAGATCTTCTTTCTTTCAGTTTCTACAACAACGTTATCGGCCTGCGTGATCCTCAGCAGCTCATCCCACCAAGTTTTTGTAAGGATGCAAAACTTGACAAAAACCAAGAGGAGGATCCTGTCGACTTCTACAGCTTGTTTTAGTAGATCCTTCTTAGAAATATAGCTCGGTATGATGATGGCTGTGTGTGATTCTATCCGGATTTCACTTTCTTGATTAAGAGGTACTACTTAAAAAAAATATAAACATTTTTTTTTTTTTTTATCTTTTTCATCAGTTATTTGTTCATCTGATGTGTTTCAGTTTTCTACTATATGCAAATAAATATTAAACTCGATTTAAGGTTTTCTTTTTTCTTTGTGTTTTACAAATGTTTACTTCAGTGCTCATAAAGTAGCAGATATTGTCTTGGCCAAACACTGGGTAGCCCTAAAACGCTTCTGTGTCAAAGGGCCGGATTTATCAAGATCCAATTTTGCGTGCAGTAATTTGCGCTCGCAAAGTGGAATTTTGCGCGAGGGGCTGAACCATGGTTTGCGGGTGATTTAACAAGAGCGATTGCGTAACTGGTGGCAGGCGCAAAACTGTTGGAGACGCCCTATTTAAATGATGGTTTTGCGCGTTTTGTGGTTTGCGGCAAAGTAGTTTGTAGTTTGTGCAAACTAGTGCATTAAGAAATTTTAATCTTACAGTGACACCACCCCCTCCAAAAAAAGAAATATATATATATATATACAGGGGCGTCTCTAGGTTTAAGAGACAAGGGTGGCTCAGCCCCTAGAAGGGTGGCTCAGCCCCCCCGAATTTTTTCAGTGCACCTGCTAAGGCGTTGTCTAAGACAAGGGTGTAACTTTGTGTTGAAAGTTGGTGGGGACGGCTCATAAGGAAAGGGAGCTACCTGCGCGACGCCTTTTTCTTTTTGTTGGAAAGGATAAAGCCAAAAAAATGCGAATAACATTTATCAATTTAATGCTTACAGTTGAAAACATAACTGTTACAATATTCACTTATATATTTTGTGCAAAAAATATCACATAAATCTAAACAGACAGTATAAATCAAAGAAATCAAATAAATATATCAATTTTGTAGAACATTTATTGACAGTCAATTTTGGGTCACTTTTTAAAATTTATTTACTTTTAAACCAGGACTCGGACAAGATCTTATGGGACCTTAAGCAGAATATGATTAAGCAACTCCGTCTTTCTGTCAAGAACATCCACCAGCAGGGTATCCAGGGGGGGATTTACCATTAGGCAATACTAGGCAGTTGCCCAGGGCCCCAAGTTCTGGGGGCCCCATAAAACTCTGTTTCCATGTATGGTTAATACAACTAATCCTTATTTGTGCACATTAATTATGTTTTTGATAAAAATCCTTTGTCTAAAATGCCATCAGAACGCTGATAAATAGAGAGGAAAAAGGGACAAGGAGAGAGGGATAAAACCTAGAACAAATAATGGATGTCTATTCTATTAACATTTCTCTATCTGTAGAATGGGTCTGTTTTATGGGTTTTCTTCTCAGGGGGCCCCCTGCCTGTCTTTGCCTAGGGCCCCAAATTTCCTAAATCCGCCCCTGAGGGTATCAATACTGATTTGATAGAATCTGGGAGAGCGGACTATGTTCAACCATCCATTTTCTTTAACCTTATCCCTCAGTGGGATCAGGAGGTGCTGGTGCATATCTCCAGCCACGTTCTGGGTGAGAGGTGGGATCACCCTGGACAGGTCACCAGTCTGTCGCAGTATGTTCAACCAGCTTAAAAGTAATCGGTAATCAGATTTATTGTTTGCACTTTTACTAAGTGAACTTTCTAACTCCCTTAAATCTGAAACTCCAATGCCAAAATTGTTTAAATCTTTTATCTTTGGACCCCCTGCAGAGTGACGTCACACCTGCAAGATCCTATCCTTACCTTCCTGCTAGATTGCAAAAAGCAGCTTGCTCATGAGTTGTCAACTTAACACGCTAAATCTTAAATGTACGTGTAAGGGGCTCAGTGCTTGCTACTGAATGGCAACACTATCAAAGTCAGGAAAAAGTTTTAAGTAAAGCCGGGATTAAAACAGTAGCTACAAGAAGCTTCAAATAAAAGGTGTTCTTTATGTTCAACCTAAACACCAACTCCGATAGACCATCAGTAGAGCAGGTGTTTAAATTAATCAATCACTGCTGCGAAAGCTTATAGCAGTGAAAGCTAATATACCACAGCCATCACTTAATAAACGCAAAATAAACAACCCTCTAAAAACGGAAAACTGTAATGGACTGAAAGTCCTGTTTTTTATGTGGGAAATTATTTGCGTGTGTTTTAGTATAATTCTGATATATTGGCGCTGTTGTCTGTTTCTATGGCAACGATACTGAATGTAGTGTAGCTTAGAGACCTGCATGGGTCGAGTTTTACCAACCCGCACCCGCCCGAACCCGTTAGGATGACTACCGAACCCGACCCGTCACCCGCGGATATCTTCAATTCAAATGTTATGGGGAGAGGTTGGAGGGGGTGATGGGGAGAAAGCGAGAGGCAACAGATTCTTTTTTCTGAGTTTTTTTTGTCGGGGTTTGTGGACGGTGAGCAGCGGGGAGAACTTTTTTTATTTTCTTTCTGAGGAGCGGCATGAATGGGGTTTTAATCAGATATACACAGCACCGAAAGCAAAATACGTGTACAAAATATTGGTGGGGACTGTCCACACCAGTCCTTAAGGAAGTTACGCCTATGATTGTTCAGATTAACTTGTCTTCTTTATGGCTTTTATTCGGTGCTTTACTGCATTTGTTTTGGGAAAATATGAGGAAAAAATAAATACAGAAAAAAAATATATATATTTTTAAAATCGCAAAATAATTATAGGGTGGCTAATGCCAAAGAAAGGGTGGCTGAAGCCACCCTTAAATAGGTCTAACGACGCTTATGTATATGTATATATATATATATATATATATATATATATATATATATATATATATATATATATATATATATATATATATATATATATATATATATATATATATATATATATACAGGTGCTGGTCATAAAATTAGAATATCATGAAAAAGTAGATTGATTTCAGTAATTCCATTTAAAAAGTGAAACTTGTATATTATATTCATACATTACATACAAACTCATATATTTCAGATGTTTATTTTGTTTAATTTTGATGATTACAAATGACAACAAATGAAAATCTCAAATTCATCATATCAGAAAATTAGAATATTGTGAAAAGGTTCAAAATTGATGGCCCCTGGTGCCACACTCTAATCAGCTAATTAACTCAAACCACCTGCAAAAGCCTTTAAATGGTCTTTCAGTCTAGTTCTATAGGCTACACAATCATGGGGAAGACTGCTGACTTGACAGTTGTCCAAAAGACGACCATCGACACCTTGCACAAGGAGGGCAAGACACAAAAGGTCATCGCTAAAGAGGCTGGCTGTTCACAGAGCTCAGTGTCCAAGCACATTAATAGAGAGGCGAAGGGAAGGAAAAGATGTGGTCGAAAAAAGTGTACAAGCAAGAGAGATAACCGCACCCTGGAGAGGATTGTGAAACAAAACCCATTCAAAAATGTGGGGGAGATTCACAAAGAGTGGACTGCAGCTGGAGTGAGTGCTTCAAGAACCACCACACACAGACGTATGAAAGACATGGGTTTCTGCTGTCGCATTCCTTGTGTCAAGCCACTCTTGAACCACAGACAGCGTCAGAAGCGTCTTGCCTGGGCTAAAGAGAAACAGGACTGGACTGCTGGTGAGTGGTCCAAAGTCATGTTCTCTGATGAAAGTAAATTTTGCATTTCCTTTGGAAATCAAGGTCCCAGAGTCTGGAGGAAAAGAAGAGAGGCACTTCATCCACGTTGCTTGAAGTCCAGTGTAAAGTTTCCACAGTCAGTGATGGTTTGGGGTGCCATGTCATCTGCTGGTGTTGGTCCATTGTGCTTTCTGAGGTCCAGGGTCAACGCAGCCACATACCAGGAAGTTTTAGAGCACTTCATGCTTCCTGCAGCTGACCAACTTTTTGGAGATGCAGATTTCATTTTCCAACAGGACTTGGCACCTGCACACAGTGCCAAAGCTACCAGTACCTGGTTGAAGGACCATGGTATCCCTGTTCTTAATTGGCCAGCAAACTCTCCTGACCTTAACCCCATAGAAAATCTATGGGGTATTGTGAAGAAGAAGATGCAATACACCAGACCCAACAATTCAGAAGAGCTAAAAGCCACTATTAGAGCAACCTTGGCTATCATAACACCTGAGCAGTGCCACAGACTGATCGACTCCATGCCACGCCGCATTGCTGCAGTAATACAGGCCAAAGGAGGCCCAACTAAATACTGAGTGCTGTACATGCTCATACTTTTCATGTTCATACTTTTCAGTTGGCCAACATTTCTATAAATCCTTTGTTTTTATTGGTCTTCAGTAATATTCTAATTTTCTGATATGATGAATTTGAGATTTTCATTTGTTGTCATTTGTAATCATCAAAATTAAACAAAATAAACATCTGAAATATATGAGTTTGTATGTAATGTATGAATATAATATACAAGTTTCACTTTTTAAATGGAATTACTGAAATCAATCTACTTTTTCATGATATTCTAATTTTATGACCAGCACCTGTATATAAACTTTGGCAACCTTTATTCCCTAAGGTGGTATGTGGCTGAATTTCTACTTCACCGCAGTAAGAAAAAAACACACAAACAAAAATAAAACAGGTTTTTTTTATCGGCCTGTAGAAAAATGCACATACCAAATGGCTCACAAGAAGTGACTGTGGATAAGATGACTGCATTGGCATGTTGCTCCACAGGCGCAGGGTGTCGGGGTTCTCCGGTAGTCAGGGCGACATGGCATTTAGAACGTCGGACAGCACTTCTGAAAAACGAGATTGGGAGATCCCAGATGCAAAAAAGTGCAATGTTGCAAGGAGTTTCGTGATATCTGGTATTGCGTGGGTCCTCCTTGTGCCTGGCTCCAAATCCATTCGGAGTTCCCCCAACAGCTCCAAAATGGCAATGCTGGATAAACGATATGTTTTGATGATCGTTTCCTCGTTCATTCCAAAAATATTCACACGGAGTGAAAAAATGCGTTCTCTGCGTCTCCTTGCTTCATTTCGATTTCTCCTTCTTGCGACAATAACCGCTGCCATGTGTGCGCAATTACGCATACAGACCATTTGCACCTTCTTTTGAAACGTGTTAAATATAGAGTCAGATACCGTTAGCAAAATTGCTTTCAGGTTTGATAAATCACTTTGCGAGTGCTAAATTAATATATTTACATGTTATCCTCCCACAAGACGCACTTTTGCGTGTAAACGCCCTATATTGAATATTCATTGCAGAAAAAGTACTAAATGGATAAGAGACGCTATTTAGCACGTTTTAAAGACCAAATCCTTTTAGCACGCTGTTGATAGATCAGTTTGTACATTTTTTTGCGTGCGCAGTGAAATAGCTCACGTTTTAATACACGCAAACCTTTGATAAATCCGGCCCAAAGACACACAAATACCTTTACAGGTACATAGATTAGAACTTCATTTCATTCGTACCAAAAAGTTCAACTTTAGCTGCATTACACGCAGTAAAATTAGACCAGAGGATAAAATTGTAAATTGAATAATTAAATGTTTAAATATCGAGAAAAAAAACATAAAATTATGCATTGACTATTACCTTTTTTATACATTTATTTAAACAGAAATACTACGAATTCAATTTGTATGTATAAATAAATTTAGAGAGAAATTAATGAGTTTTTAGGTGTAACCAATTTGTCGATTTAATCTGGGGTCACAGAGCAAATAAAGACCCCTTATATTTAGCTTCTAAGAACATAAATTATACATAGAACTAATTAAAATTTATATTTTCAATACCAAAAAAAACTAGTTTGCAGTTATGTGGAAGACTGCTGAAAGGACAGATGTCACTAACATCATCCATGAGTATAGTGCACTCAGAAAAATGACTCGTTGGATTAACTCTATTTAATTGGTGGCAGTTTTTCCATCCAACACATTTTTCCTAGCTGAATCAAATCCACATTTATCTGTATGGTGTCATTTTATTGTGTCAGTTCAACACATTTTTTTACTTTTAAAAGGAAATGAATACATACACAAAATGAACAAATATGTTTGGTTGGATCAACTTAATAACATCTAATCTCTATATTTGTCCCTACATTGAATTATGTTCAGTTAACTAATTACATTTAAATAACCCAATGACAAATTCATTGGTTTTATCAACTCAATTGAATTTACTTACTTTACAAACATGTATCACATGGTCAAAATAACCTGGACGAAGATAGAGCTGTGCGTGATCATGGATCTTGGCCTTAAGATAACTTATGGTTTCATCTGTGTGGACTTGGGAGACAACTAACTCCACCATCTCTTTTAGATGTACAATTACCGGCCCTGCTGGTTGGTTCTTTGACTAAAGTGGTCCAATAAATTAAAGGAAATAATATTAGCAAGGACCAATTTTAATGGGTGTTGCAAAGTAACCTAAAATTCTGAGTTCACTTGAAAGACGAACCTTGTAAGCTCCCAAGGCGGCCTTATAGTGAACTCAAGAATTGTAGGTTAGTTGGCATCATACATAAAATGTTACATCAATCAATATTATGTACTGTATGTAATACATACATATTGTGTTACAATAATTAAATATTACTAAATAATTCTGGAGGGCTGCTCAAGGTTTCAGGTTGGATTTGCAGCCTGGAGCCTTTCTGCATGGAGTTTGCATGTTTCCCTTGAGCTTTATCTTCAAACTTTGGCTCAGAGTTCTTTTGCCTGGCTGTGTGTTTCCTGGACGGGCTGCCTTTTGCAGCTGCTTTTTGTATCTCTGATTCTGTCTCTTTGAACCCCAGTCGGCCTCAGCAGATGGCCGCTCACACTGAGCCTGGTTCTGCTGGAGGTTTCTTCCTGTTAAAAGGGAGATTTTCCTCTCCACTGTCGCCACAAGCATGCTTAGTGTGAGGGATTACATTCTAGTCAATGAGTCGATGCAATCAACTGGTTTTCGTTAGATAGAAAACTTCGAATCAACTGGACTGTATGATCTGTTGAACTGTAAAGTGCCTTGAGATGACATGTGTTGTGAATTGGTGCTATAGAAATAAACTGAATAGAATTGAATTCAAACTTTCAATTTATTATTATCTTTTGTATTATTATATAAAAAATCATTAAAACCAAACAATTTAATCTAAAACTTTGTTACTACAAAAGTTGTATTATCTGACCAGAAGTAGACACTGTTTTTGGGAGTTTCCTGCTCATGTTTAAATGCAAATAGGCCACTAGATGGCAGTAGATGTTCACCAATAATAAAGTAACAGTCAGATTGGGAACATATCATTTTTTAGAATGTCAAAGCTAATATATCTGTGTGTCTTTGTGCGTTTAATGTAAATATGAGGCAAGCAGATACATATGACTTAACATTTATTTATTTACATCATTCTGAGGGGTTACTTCGTAACAGTAGTAGCACACACCCCTTAACATCCCCACCTCCTGCACCCCAACATCTGCCGCCACCAGCCCCTGATCCCCTATAGCTGTTTCTAACCACACAAGTCTCGCATCAGGATCCTCATCCGAAAACTGAAGCAGAGATCCTGAGCTCCGCAAAACCCTGAGACACTGTCTCAACACCAAAGCAGCCTTTTCTGTTCCTTCCTTGGACCTGAGCAAAGCATCTATGGTGCCCTTGTCAACAATAAGATCCAGACTATTAGCAGCGAAGTGTCGGTCAAGCTGTGTGCAGTCCAGTTCTAAAAACTCAATGTGAGAAGAAACATTTAGCGGCTTGATGGATTTAGCCTGAAGGTGCTCTCGCATCAGCTGCACAGCAACAGGGGAGATGTCGGCACAAGTGACTCGAACAGGCAGAACCGAGTCTCTGTAGATGCAGGGGCCTAATGCAGAGGTGCCACAACCCATATCTAGAACCTGGAGAGGAGAGGGTGGAAGCGATGCAGTCTGTAAAAGGGGCATGATGAAGTCCCGCACAGCATCGAAACCGAAGAACCACTCAAAGTTTTTAAAGTTGGGATTCCTGCTGCTGGTCTCAGAGTAGAAGCGATCCCATGCTGACTTCTTATCCATGTTTTCCATCAGTTCAGCTAGACAAATAACAATAAAAGGTACAGTAATTAGCAATAGTCTTGCCATGGTACGACCCTTTAGAAAAAAATAATTTTGGATGGTGCTTTTAAGAACTTTAAGAAACGAGTCCATCTCTTGCTTTAATCTAGGTATAAATGTTTAGAAACCTGCTTTGAAAAGCAAAATTCAACATTTTGGCGTTAATGCATAACAGATCTTTTTCTGCAAAACTGAAAAAAGTGGAAAAACCACGTTTCCCTTGGGGAAACATGGCGGTGGAGGTATAATGTCCAGAGGCTTTTCTTTAACAGAGAAAGAAAAGCTGCTAAGAGACGATGGGAAAATGGGTGAAGATAAATTAAATTTAATTTAATTCAGTTAATTTCTATAGTGACAATTCACAACATGTCATATCAAGGCACTTTACAGTTCACAAGATCATCCAGTCAGATTGCTTCAAAGTTTTCTATCTAAGGAAAACCAGTTGATTGCATCAACTAATTGACTCGAATGCAATCCCTCAACATAAGCATGCTTGTAGCGACAGTGGAGAGGAAAAACTCAGTTTTAACAGGAAGAAACCTCCAGCAGAACCAGGCTCAGTGTTCAGCTCAAGATAAACCGAAAGCAGTTATAAAAAATGTAAAATAGTTTTCACTTTCATGCAAAAAATACAACTAGTTACAACACTGTCAACAAGTTCAGATACAAACCAGAGTTTTATAGAGAAATGGTTGCAATCGGAGTAACTCCGTTAGATCAAGTCAATCTAATGGAGTTAGTTATTTTACAGCGAAGAATAAAAAATAAAAAAAAGATTTCTGTATTGAAATGTTTCCATTATTTTAAACGTGCGTCCATCAAGTTTTATATGAACAGAGATGTTGAGATTTCAATCCAGCTGCTTTTTCTCTCCAGGATGGAGTCACAGTTTAACAGGAACAGATAAAGCTGGTACAGGAAAAAGCTGACAGAATATTAAGTTATAGCTTAACAAATGCTGCAGAATGGGAGAACAGGGAATAAAATCTTAAAGTATCGATATAGCAATTGTTTAGGATAACTGCCTATTTTGGATGATATAAGAGAAAGGTATCATAAAAAATAATCCAAACAGGATTAGGGTTGTAGTTGCTACATAGAAATCATCAAGGTCAGAATTTTCATTTTTACAAAGCTGGGGTCATCTCTATATTCTGCGTAGTTCAATAGTTGAACAAAAATAAAACCTAATGACTAAAACAGCCATCAATTCTATGATTGACTCTAAAAGGCAACAGGAAACCTTTTTCAAGTCTACAACACAACCTTATGTTTAGCTAGTTAGCTTAGCGTCACAACTACAGACTGAACTATTCTAAAACAACGAGGTTTAAAACGGGCGAGTCCACTTTTGGACATACTTGTGACAGATGAATGCTGCCTTATATTCCGGGAAAATATTCTTCTGCAGGCGAAGGTGAAAGACTTTGTAAGAGCAGACATGTTGGCTGTTCCCTCCACCGTTTACCTACAGAGGTCTCACTTTGACTAGAATTCCACGAATGGAAGTTATTGATGAGTCCAGTAAATTGTGTTTGAGAAAACATCTTATTAATATTTACGATCTTCGATAAGTTTATGTGAGGACAAACTTATCCAAATTTAAAAATACAATAGTTCAAATATACAAAATATATATATGTATCCCCCCCGAGTCATTTTTTATTTGAAAGAAAAAACTGTTCCCCTCACGTTTAATGAAAAAGCCCAACTCCACATTAAATGCCGCTAATGACAAAATATTCTATGAAAAAAATGTCTTCATATAAGATGCCCCCTTTCTTTTACATTAATAATCACACGAATATTCACATACATGATCATACTATTTAATTTGTCAATTATCTGTCAAACAGGTCTAAAATCTAATGATATATACATATATAAACTGCTTCTTCTGTAAGATTATTAAATAAATATAGATTATTAAAGGGGGTTCATATAAACTGCATTCTATTTCCCAGTTTTAAAACTGCTCAACAAGCATTTTCTGTAGATTTTATCATAGTAATATTTTATGATATAACTGCAAAACTATAATATATTGCAGCTTATACACTTGAAAAACAATCTAGAATGTAAAAAATTCTTATTGTATTTAACCTTAATTTAAGTGGGTAAGTTGGATAATTTGCCAATTGAATGAGTATATATTATTCTTAAAACAAGATAATTAGATAGTATTTACTTGAAATAAGACTATGCAATTGTTTCGTCTTATTTTAAACGTCAATTTAAAAAAAAAAACTTTAGATTTCAACTTTTTGCAGTGTACTTCATTTTATTAAGTACAAATTAAATACTACAGATCTGAAAATAATTCTAAATGCCAAAGGTTACTAATACACCCATCACATCTTTTCTTGAAAAAAAATAAAAAAATCCCCCTGAATTTTAACTATTTACTTTGAAAATATGCATCTTCTTTAATTGTAATTTAACACTTTCTGAAAAACAATGTGACTTTCTGTAACATAATTTTAAATGAGCAGGATCTGCAAGGTAAAGAAAAGGCAACAGACAAGATGTAAATTGCTTTAATAAAACTCAATGAACTGCAGTGTAACAAAGGAAGAGAATCAAACAAAGCAAGAAGATAACATTTACAACCACAAAAGAAAAAAAAAAAACCTGTACATCTAAACGGCTGGAGTCAATTCTATTTTCTACCTATTTTCTGTTAACCATTTCATTGACAGTGGAAGGTAACCTTGGGGTTTGGAAGTAAGAGGGGTAGATGAGACTTATGTGATTTCATTTTTTTTTTTATTTCCAAATAAAATTAGAATATTCGCAGACTTGGATGCAACTTTCAACCAACGTGGCAGTTGATGTTCAATGCACCTCTGCGGAGCACAGCTTGAGCAGGACGTTTTCACATGTGGTCCAGGAGTGTTATTTGTACAGGATGTCGTAATGGCCGGGTCTGTACAGCAGGAAGATGCGGGGGTCACCTCCCTCAGGGAAGACGTGGTGATTGACAGTTCCTCCTTCACCTCTGTCCATGTACTCCACCAGAATGGACACGTTCAGGGCCTTGGCTAAGGCAATGATGTGGATGTGGTCACTTTCTTTAGACATGGGCTCTACTTCCTAAAAAAGGAGGGAAGGACATTTGTAATGAACCTCATATGATCAAACATTTCTTTAACAACTACATACTAAAGCATCTCTATCCTTGCTCCATGTCCCAACGGCACATTTTTCCCTGAGAAACAACTTTTAGGTGTTTTTGGTTGGAGCTAGTTGTCCTAATGGGAATTTTCTTAATCGTCTCCGGCTATTGATCAGCTGAGTAAAATACTACAAATTCAGTGTTTCTGCACTTATCAAATGCTTCAAAACTAGAAACCATTCTTTGTTTAAAGATACGTCTACTAGAATTAGAGATAGACCGATACAGCTGATTCATTGGTGCGTTCGGTATCCATGCCTTGAGATCATGAGGAACTGTTAAATGTTTTGTTTGATTCGTTAATAGACTTTTTTTGTTGTTTAAAATGAAAACCTGCAGAATCTATTATCATTGTGTCATTCTGATCATGTAAATGGAAAAGATAGAGCAATATTGGCTCCAAGCTAAAAATCATTGGCACATGTTGGGGATCCGTTAGTGATGTTAGCATTAGCCATAACTCTTTAGCTCCCACCTTTTTTTTGCACAACCAAATTGTAGACCCACATGCCATTGGCCAGTAAAATATTCATATCAATCCCACATGCTTGTGGTGCATCTCATTTCGAAGCTAAGGTCTTCTATTTCATGTGTTCTGCGATTTAATTTAATGGAAAATACAACTGGATATTACTTTTCTGTTATTGACTGTTGGAGCCAAATGCTTGATTTATGATTGAATATTTATTTCTAGTTTACTATTTTTGTCTGGTTTTGGTATGATATATATGAACATGAAATATTTTAGTTTGAAGTATGAGTTGACTGACTTAATTATGAAATTATAAATTTGATTATTTGTGTTTTGCTGCGTGCATAATTTACGCCGTTTCTCGCCTCCGCCCCTTCATTATGGACAGGTGACTGCAGCACCTGGATTATATTGGTGTTGGCTGTTGGGGCCGGGTGAGCTCTTGGATTCAGTCAGCGCAGCCATACAGTTTTTGACCGCTTTTGATTATTGTTGTTTTTTGAGAGGCAAAAAAGGAACGAAATGAGCCGATATGATCTGCCTGTCACGTCATATTGGGGTAAGAAAATCTAAGTTTGTTTTTATTTTTGAAAATAAAGCGTCTTAATCAAGAGGAAAGAAAGTTTGTTGGATTGCATGGTCACATTAAAAAACGTCTGACAGAGCTGAAGTGAGTCTACCTTGGATGCTTCTGAACCAAGAGCCACACGCATCTTTATTGGAAAGATTGCGCCATCACTGACAAAATGAGCCAATTTATGGCAGGACAGACTGTGTTTTGGGATGCCAGAAAACAAAAAAAAAGGTAAGAGGTGAAAAAAAATAAAATCTAATTTGATGACAGAGTATAAGTTATAACGCTACGTTCACACAAGATGCGATTTCAGCAGCAAATGATGGCGTACCATAAAGAATAAATTATGAACAGTTTAGTTTGTGCCTTCAACTCGTTGCCCATAGGAAGACGTTACTTGGATATAACCTAATGGAATATCTTCAGAACAGCTCCAAATGACAAGACTTATATGGGTGAGTAGAATATGATGTAATAACGTAAAATCAAGGGCCAAATGTAAAAAAAACGGCGTTCCCTTTTAACCGTAGACGTCTCGTGTAAACCCACTGCTTCTGCTGCTCAAAGCGCATGCTGTGCGAACGCAGCATTAGTGTTTGTGGAGTATAGTTGGCTTACAATTGACATGATAGTTGTATTCATTAGGATCACCTGATTCTAAAGAGGTAAAACGTTTTTTTTTAACAAAGAAGCTTTCTGTTTGATGTGGAACAAAATGTGACGTCAAAACGTTCCTCAGCCAATCTCCAACTATAACAAAGCCTTTTAACGCACCATTTAGAAAATAGATCCAAAGAGCTTTTGGTGTCTTTGACTATAAAATAGCATAATTTCCAGCTTCATTAAAAAAAATTTTTTTATGTTTTATATGCTGTATTCATAAGAAAATCAGAATTTGTTGAAAATTAGATCGATCACAGAGTTTATAGAGAAGCAAATGCTACTAGAATCAGCCAACTACTACTACTGATTGGTGAACTTTCTGGAAGTCTATCTTTATTGTATGTCCCCCCCCCCCCCCAGAAATACTTACTTGCTGACAGAACTCCTTGATGGTACGTCCTCCCTCGATAAAGTGTTCAAAGAAGCCGTGCTCTCGCTGCAAGTAGCCTGAGGTAAGGAGGCGCAGGTAAACAACAACGTAGTCCGACATATTCTGGTCATTGAAAGAGTTCAGCAGCTCCTGCAGGCTTGGCTGTTTCTCACATACTTCAATCAAGTCCATGAACTTGATAGGGAGAAGATAAAGAAAATATTAATCTTTCAAAAGTGTGGCTTTTACAAAATGGAAATGTTTTTCATCAGCATTCTGGTCACCATTGGGTTAGGAATAACAATGCAACTATGGAGCTTGAGAAATAAGTTGTCCAGGACATGATCCTTGTCGATACCTTCTTGTTGAAATGTTCCTTAAAATAAGCCGTTTACTCAAAAGGATAGAAATTTTTTTTTTTTTTATTAAATAAATAGAATTTTATGACACAGACTTCTCTAGAGCAGTAGTTATTGCCTCACTAAAAGCTTTCTTTTTTTTTTTTTAACAGGGGTTGACGTTAAGGATTTTTACCACTTGCCCAAACAATTTTTACTTGCCCAGTATAATGTTTGATCATTGTTGTATATATATATATATATATACAACAATAAAATATGTTTGTTTTTTAAATGTTTTTTGTAATTCAGTATTTTAGTTTAAAGGTTCCTGGTGTGTATATGCATGCGTCAGATAAGGAACTCAAGCCTACATTACCGTGCTAACATGCTTTTCAATCCTTCCTGCATTACTTATTTTATACTGTAGGATGTTAGATCAACTAATATTTCTTAAACAGGGAACACAGTCAACAACGGAAGGTATGAAAACAAATGACCTACATACAGATTTACCAATGAGTTACAGAAACTTTAAGAAAAGGAGAGTTTTTATTTTAGCATGAAAATGGAGATTTTAGATGCTGGATGATCTGATATTAATGTTGGATCAGGACGTCCCTATTTATATAGTAGTTTTACAAAAAAAACAAATCAATTCTAAAAAAAAATATAACACCGTTTAATAAAGCATGTATTATCTTGAAATGTGTTTTTTAAATAAAATAAATACATTTTGACATATTCTAGAAGTAAATAAAAAACAAAATATGCTAAAGAATATTTATTGTGTTTTTTTCTTGAGACCATTTATTTATTTTAATATATATAAATAGTTTAATATTAAAGGTTCTTATATAATTTTAAGTGGTTACAAGTGATTTTTTTTTTTTTGCCAAATAGG